GCTAAGAAGATAGTAGAATAATTTAACTAGTATATATTTACCTCCTAATAGCTTTAAGGCTAATATTATAACCTTAATAATTAATACTATATAATACTTTAGTAGACCCTATATAGTATCTAGTGATTAGGGGTAATATATAATAAGGACTTAGGCTATATTAATATAGAAGCTTATTATTAGGCTAGATTTACTATAGTTACTAGTAAGAAATTTTATAAGATAGTCTAGTAATTAGAGTTTTATTATCTTTTATATTATTAAGCTACCTTTAGAAAAGAGATAGCTATTAGGGAGTATATTATTAGTATTAGTGATATTTAGCCCTAGTTAGATATAACTATCTTTATACTAAGTAATAGGTATAATTAATATCCTCTTTAATCTACTATTAATAATATTAGGACTAATAAAGGACTAACTTAAAGTAACTCTACCTCTTTTAGTATTAGTAATTAGTCTAATCATATTAGCGATCAGTCTAATCATATTAGTAATTAGTCTAATTAGAAGTAGAAGAGGTTTAGTAAGCTTAAATCTTTCTATACTATAGTTAAAGGGTATTAGGAAAGCTAATAAAGGAATCTAGACTTAGTAACCTAGGTATTTAAAGGGGTTATTAATATCCTTAAGTAGATAGCTAATAGGTAAGTAATAGTAGTTACTATAGTAGATATACTATCCTAAAATAGTAATAGGGGTTATATATACTATAATAAAGGATATATAAGATAACTTTACTAATAAACTAACTAATATAGATATCTTTACTATTAGTAAGCTCTTCTATAGCTTACTAATCTATATAGAGCTATTTTTAAGCTTTCTAAGCTATTAAAGGAAGAAAAACTAGCTAATCTAAAAGGGTTTTTTAGATATAAGGCCTAACCCTACTATATTAGATAAGATATAACTAGGTATAATATACTCTAAGTTAACTAGGTATACTTATATTTATACTCTAATTTATATATATATTAAAATACCTTTAGTATAATTCCTAGTTTTAGGTACTAATTACTATCTAGAAATCATATAGGGTAGTTATTTCTTATTTAATCTAATTAGTATACTCCTTTATAATATCTAGTATCTATTTTTAAGTATCTACTAGTAATAGTTTAATACTAAGTCTAAAATTATAGAGGGCTATATATATATATATTATTAAAACTTAGTTTAGTACTATATACTCTAGTACTAATAACTAGATGATCTTCTATCTCTACTTTAGTAATCTAAATACCCTCTCTATAACTATCTAAAGACTTAAATACCTTAGATTATATAGCTCTTTTAGTATAGATAGGGGATTTAGTATTACTTACTAGTCTTAGAGATAGTAGTACTAATTAGGATATAGAGTTATAATACCTTATATAAGTCTAAATCTAGTATTAGTAAGGTAGAAATAACCTTTTAGGATTTGAAAATTAGCTAAATATAAGGCTTAGAGTAACCTACTATTACTTATTAACCCCTCTATATTAGTAAGGATAAAAACTATTCTACTATAATAGGTGATAGTAGTAAAGGTATTCTATATAAGGGATCCTTTATAATTCTAGAAGTGATATTACTTATACTTTAGAATAAATACTAGGATATATATACTATTAATAGTACTAATATATCTATTAAACTAGTAGTTCTAGTTATCTAATTTAACCTTTAGGGATAGATATTTATCTCCTAGTAAGGTGATTTCCTATTTTACTAGTTTTTAGATCTTATAAAGGATCTTATTAAAAACTATTAAAATAGTACCCTATAATATTTAGAATATTATTATAACTTAGTACTAAGGTATACTAAATATTAGTATTATAAAAAATATTATTAGTTTCTATAATAATAATTGATAATATATATCTTAAACTATAGTATAATACTTAAACTATATAACTAGGGTATTAAATATTAGCTTTAGTATTTAAAAGAAGTATTTAAAATCTTCATCTTTATAATTATAGAGCTTATATATATATTAGAGGGCTTCTAATAGGCTACTAGTATTATAAACTATTAGTTAGCGATATCAAATGATAGTAGCTTATATTAGGTCGTCAATTTCATTATCTTTAAGAGCCTATAGTAATTTAGAATAGGTATATATTACCTAAATAGAGCTTATAAGTATAATAAAGCTATTAATAGAAGCTATTTTATATATAATCATATATTAGAGGGTGATTAGGTAAGGTGTTATTGAAAAGATAGAATTAAATAGTGAAAAATAGCTTTAAGCTATTTCTCAGAAAATGATCATTTCTACTATTAAGTTTCCTTTTAGGTGAAAAAAGTAGGTAAAAGTAGGCTAAATTAGCCCCTATTAAGAAAGTATATAAGGATTTTAGTATAAATTGAAGAACTAGAAAACTATCCTAAGTATCTTTTTTATACACCTATTTTAGGTGATGAAAAGGGAAATATGAGACCTACTATGGCTTTTTGATTTTCTTAGCGGTTTTATTCAACTTTTAGGTACTTCGGGCATGAGAAACTGGAACTGGTTTCGCGAGCAGATCGGCCTCTAGGTCTTTCATGGGTTATCCATCACCTCCTCCTTCTCTCTTTCAACCTTGGGTTTCGCCTGCACTCTAATTGACGTCGAACAACTCCATGTACCATTCAATCTCGCCTTCTTTCAAAAATCATAATACAACTCAACGACTAGGAAAACATGAAGCGCCGGCAAATCGTAGATGAACGACCTGACAGCGGGCCTCCGGCCGCTAAGAAGTCGAAGACTACCTCGTCAACCGGCTCTACTCAACATGCTCTAAGGGATGATGACGGGAACATATTCTGGGAGGTATAGGAACTTGAACAAAGAACTTTTAATGTGCCCCTCTAGCTTACGAGCCTTAGCTCCCGAAAAGTCGCCGTGTAACTGTCTCCGAATTCAAAAATCAATTTATATCAACATCCGAGAGTACTATGAAAAAGATGGGAAAGCACTGCCCGGAAAAAAGGCGAGCCCTGGGACGACTCCCTTACAACTGAGCACAATCCTAACGTTTTTGTTAGGGTATATCCCTTACTTTGGAGCAATATCAGTCGTTGATTGAACTCATTCCCTCTATCAACGCGGAGTTGGGATTGGTCGCTGGACAGGCATTAGGTGACCCGAGTCAGAGTTCACTTCAGGCTGGCAAACCTCAAGTGTCACGAGTAAAATCAAAGTCCAACATAGAAGCGACTAGTGACGAAGATGAGGACTAAAAGATGGTCTTACTTCCTCGCCAATGTACCATCGCGTTCTTTATCTTCCAACGAACCGAGTGATCTTCAGCTTACTATCTATCTACACGTCGGGGCTCAATCCCACCTCGCCCTAACTGAGAGAGCCCCCGTAGCATATCTTTGGCTTTCCCAATCCGGCATGGGTACTAATCGGGCGCCGTTCGGCTGGATCAAAAACACTTCAGGCAACGACCAAATACCCTCTAGACTCGAGTACATTGTTGAGTTTTCTCCGGCGGTAGAATATCGTTTCTAAGCACAAAGTGGATCCGACCCCCAACTGGGCCATGACCAGTGCGTCCCCAAGACAGCTGGTATTTGGAGGTGTCCCCCTCCCCCGGGGGAACCGATACGCCGCGTTAAGAAAGTCGGGGAATATATGGTCCAACGGGACCTTGGGGGCGGGGGGCGCTGTCAAGGGCTCCTGAGTTTGGATGTTGGGAAGCAGGATAATGTGCCCGTCTTTTGATAGGTAGCACACCGGCGGCTAAGAGATATCTCAAGATCTCCGGATTGATTATCGAATCTAATAGGGTTTACGGGCGACGTCATTCTCGTCCTTACTAATGGGATTTCGTGTCAATTAATACTAAGTTCTATACCATCCCCAGAATATTCTCGTGTAGGCCGGCGCGTCCCTTGGATGTTACTCTACCTTCCGACGAAGAGCATTCGCCAATATGGATGGTTCTCAATGATAGATGGCCCCGCACAGAGAACCGCACAGAGAACCCGGGTCAGGGACAGGACAGTCCCAGCCCAACAGGATTATCGCCTGTCAAGATGGGGTTCCAACAGCTATCGTCTTCACCGCACACGTCGCGCTATAAACCTCTCGCTATGCATCCATAGATCCCCTCCTCACAAATTACTGCCGTTGCTGTTGATCAATCTGCACAAATCATGACTAATTGCAGAGTTTGAACGGGTCGTGTGTTTAGCCTTAACATTGTTTTCATCTTTAGCATCCTCAAGCGGCCCCCTCCTAACACGGACGCATACATATACGCATATATAACTTGGAAAGAAAGGGTAAACATTCCTAGTCTTCGAACTAATTACGAGATACATCAAGCGCCCTCCCGCAAAGCGCGAAATAATAAAGCATTTCCTATAATGTGCGAAGGATAATATATGAGAAGATCCAACGTAACGTAACGCCTGTCCTCGAAGTTACACTCCCGATTTCAACCCCACCCGAATCTTCCAATTCACTGCAATGGAGAGGTATTCATCCCGTCTCCGCTTGCAAAGTTGATATATGCAGGTCTACATCATAGCGCTCAAGTCTTGCTATAAAAGAGAGAAAAGGAAATAAAAGGACGTCGTCCGTTTCAAAGGGCCAATATGTTATAAATGTATTAATCGCCACTTCGCCATGCTCTCTCAGTCACATCTTCATCTTCCGACAACGTCGCCTTGAACTAGCATATACGAGAACTTTCGTATCCTGATACCTAGTAGATGTGATCGACTAGCAACCAAAGCGCCTTACCCCAAATACCCTAAATATTCTGTCCCGGAAGCCAGTAGTACTGTACAGACAGATCTACAGCTGGTCTTCTCGCATTTAACAGCTGTGGCTTTACCAAACTGACGCCCAGGATGCCAGACATTCTAGTGGATAGGACTGACCGGGCTTCCTTGCTAGGTCTCCTCTAGCTAGCGGTAATGTCGCATCCCCTTCGAACGACCAAGAGAGTCCTCCAAGGAGCATGCACAATACGCTCACTCCACCTCAGATAATCCAAGCCATGACCCCTGAATATCGCGCACAGGTGGAGGCTAGACTGAAAAGGAAGATCGACTTGCGGCTGTTGCCAATTTCTATCTTGATGTACATACTCAATTATCTTGATAGGTCTGACAACCCTGCCATCATTCTTCACAGCAAACCCTGAGCTCATCTAGTGGTAGGAATAACATCGCTGCTGCGGCTCTTGGTGGGATTAAAGAAGAGTTAAATTTGAAGGGAAATCAGTTTCCGGTATGTCATAATATAACCTTGAGGCCGTACCACTCACTAGTATCAACTGACCGTTATCACAACCTCTAGACTGCCGTGAGCATCTTGTTTGTTGGGTACGAGTCGACCTGCGAGTTTCTTGTCTGCCTTTCTTATGTACTTTACAAGCCTCTAATCCGTCCCATTGGTGCTGTAGCTACTTGTTGATGCAGGTTCCTCCAACCTCTTCCTTAACAAGATTGGGAAGCCGGCCATATACCTTCCGACAGCGGTCCGTCCTGCTTACAACCCACGCCCTTCATCCGTGGATTCCTAACCTATGTTTCTTCATCGCTAACAAAGGATCAGATGGTGATTTGGGGCATAATTTCCGCAGCCACTTCAGCTGTAACCAGCTACGGTGGCCTTCTTGCAATTCGATTCTTCTTGGGTTTTGTTGAAGCCGCGTTCTTTGTACGTCGTTGTCGCCAAGCCAACCCCTTGTCCTGATTACCTCCCCCAGCGATGATTCGGACGGGCATACTCTCCTCGAACAGTTATAGTCTACGCAAAAGAGGGCCTCTACTAAATCCCATCTCTATCCTTGCATAGCCCGGATGCCTTTATTACCTCTCTTGCTGGTACGTTAGGTCTGAGCTCGGGCTCCGTACTACACTTCTGTACTCTGGTGCTCTCATCTCTGGGGCCTTCTCTGGCCTCATCGCAGCGGGAATAACCAAGAATATGGATGGTTTGTTAGGATGGCGTGCTTGGCGATGGCTATTTCTTATAGAAGGCGTGGTCACTGTAGCTGTCGCTCTCGCTGCCTACTTCGTGCTCCCCAACTTTCCTCGCACCACGAGTTGGCTTGACGAGGAGGAGAAGGCACTAGCCATCTGGCGCCTTAAAGAAGACGTCGGAGAAGACGACTGGGTCGACAGTGAAGATCAGTCCCTTTTAGGGGATTTATGGAAGCGCTGGGAGACCTCAAAACTTGGGTACTAGTGAGTTCTAATCCCATCTAATGGCTCACTACACGGCGGTCACCCCCTTGTGGAAACGTTCTGACTCTTTCCATGTCTCCAGTTATTGCTTGTGTTTTGCATTGTGGCAAGTGGATCCATCACAAACTTCTTTCCAACAGTGGTGAAAAGTTTAGGTTATGGCGACGTCCCAACGCTGCTTTTAACCAGCCCGCCCTATGTGCTTTGCTTTCTTGTCACATGCCTCAATTCATGGCATGCAGACCGTACCGGGGAGAGGTATTTACACGTCGTTCTACCTCTCATGGTCGCAGTTGTAGCCTTCATTTTGGCAGCAAGTACGACCACTATGACCCCCGGTATATTAGCATGATGCTTATGGTATGGTCGCCATAATCCCCGCCTCTTGTTTGATTTGGGGCCCCGTGACGAAGCAGTTGTGTTTATGTAGAAACTAATTTGCGTTCTCTAGTTACCCGGTATCTACAGCGGTTATACCACCTCGCTTGCCTGGATATCTAACACTTTACCGCGCCCCCAGCCAAAAGAGCCGCCTCGTTAGCTTTTATAAACGCTGTGAGCAACTGCTCGTCGATCTATGCCTCCTACTTATACGCCGACAACATGGGGCCACGATACATTGGCGCTTTTGTGCACAATTGCGTCGCCTGCTTCCTTGCGGCATGCGCAGCCACTCTTCTCCGGTTGATTTTGACAAAATTAAACAAGAAGTTGGACAGGGGAGAGTACGTGAAAGGGGCAATTGGTGGGACACCAGGGCGAGCCGTCGAGCATGGGTTTAGATTCAAGGTGTAATGGTTCTTCCCTAGGACAGCCATTAACGGTTGGAGACCAAGGCTCATGCTCTTCGATGGTCAGCAGTTCATTGAATGGACTTAGTCTGGTGAATTGGCTCGTGCGAGACAAGAGTGGGTTCGTATTGTTTGCAGTAAAGCAATAATATCAGATGCTAAATATAACCGCGTTTGATATCTTATTTTGGTTGTATTCGCGCATCCGCACGACGCCGGGGAATTTCCGATCACTAGTCTAGACCCTGGGGTTTGCGCCTGGAATTTATAAACTTGATAGGCGGCTAACTGGGGAATATCTCCGTTGTACGACGAGTGTCTGAGCCTTTGAATAGTATGTGGTACTATAAGAGATCATGATCAAGAAGTTCTTTCTAATACCTCGCCTAGTCCTATACCAGGACATGAGGAGGAGCTCAATAAATCTCATATATGCGGACATTAGGTGCATAACATTACCTAGACACCATATACTAATATAATTATACTAGATTTAAAGATGTTATATATATATAATATATAATATTTTTTATATATGATTTAATTAAGTATACTTACTTAGAATAAAATTTATATTAAGATACTTTATATTAAAACTTTTATAATATAAATATTATAAAATAAAAAACCCCTTTTTATATTTAAATATTTAATAAAGAATATTTTTATTAGTTTAAATTAATATTAAATAATATTAATCTTCTTTATTAGCTCTATATTAGGTAGGTATATTAAATGCTACTTATAATTATACTACCTAAGCAGTTTTTTATAAAAGTTTTATAGATATGGTGGCTTACTAAACTAAGCTCCTCGGTATTCCTATACCTTCTACCTCGGTATGTTCCTCTCCGTCCCCGTCCTTTTGCTCTAATGTACTTCTGTTTGTTCAGTTCCGGTGGCCCCCTGCAACAGGATTCGCCACACAATTTTGCTTGGGTCAGCCCTCAAACCTCGGTATATATATAGCGATTCCTCATGTTGTCTTTACAGCCACCCCTTCTTACCTCTCTTTCGCGAACGTGACTGACGCGCTGGGTGCGGCAATTCATCTTATAGAGATGAGTGTATTTGGCTTACTCGTCCCCGTCATTGGGCCTCTTACAGCAGCCTCAGCTGGCTATGCCGCATGGAAAATACAATGGATTTCCCTTCTGAGGGCTTTCCTCACTGGGCCAGGGCGCTACCAGCGCATTTTATTTGTTCTTTTTGCCCTCTTAAATTGGAAGAATATGCCATTTGCCTGGACCGTGAGTTTGTTTCCCTCTTCCCATCATCCTCCTCGGGTTCTTGCACGATGGCGTGTGTATTGTGGAAATCTATACTTAAACATGCCGCAATTTACCCAACTAGACACGAATATTTTACGCTGTTTACTATCACCATCTCCTTCGTCGTGCACCAGCTCTTGGCCCACGTGCTCTATTCGCGCCCGTGATATCACGATCCCGTGCACCACTTCTTGAAATCGATTATAATATTCATAAATCCAACTCAACCTATTTCGCAGACCTCGACGTGAGTCGGACCCACCTTGTATCATATATATGTGGCCCCGGACTACGGTCTCTTTCGAGAAATGAAGCGACGCACCTCATCGCCGACCCTACCACCCTAAAGCCCGCCTCTGGGAAGCTGGGCATTATGCTCGGTGCCGTGCACTGCTCTTTTCACAAAGAGATACCCCCATATGCGCCCTACGAGATGTGGAGCCGCATCCTGTCTTGGGATAGGAAATGGCTTTACATAGTAACGCATTATGTGCCTAAAGATCTGGGTCGTCCTTCCCAGTGGTTAGACCCCAGGTTTAACAAATTGAGCCGCAGTAGTGAAGAGCCAATTGACGACTGGGAGAAAAAGATGTACGCTACGGCGGTAAGCAAGTACGTCTTCAAACTCGGCCGATTAACGATCCACCCTGCTACCGTACTCGCGGAAAGCGGTCTTCTCCCGGAGCGCCCTGGGGGTTGGGTAGTTAATAATTCCGTTATCTCGGAGACTCCAGGTGCAGACCAGCCCGACAACACTTTGAAAGTGTGCTGGCAGGATGATGGCTGGAGTTGGAACCGCGTTGAGCAGCGCCGTATAGCTGGAATGAGGTTCGCCGAAAAGTTTGGTGCCATGGATAGCCTTCAAAAGGCCTTCGATGGTGGCCAAGGAGCTGTTGTTGGTCACTTCGGACCCGGGTAGGGTAATGTGCTACCCTTGTGTTGTGATATATCCCCTAATCTAAAGATTGAAGTGAGCAGTCCCATCAATTGATGGCCGGCTACAATGAACAGATAACCCGTCCATATATATCTCAAAAGAAGTCTTGTCATGGCTTAGATGTCGGCGACTGATTACAGACTTGCATTGCCCATGCTTGATCTTGAGCATAATAACTCTAGTATATAATCCGGGCAAACATCAGAACAATGAAGCAGACTCTATAGTCCCTCCAGCATCAATCCCAAATTGAGTCAGCGCTGCCCAGACAGTGGTCTGCAATGGCGTCTGATAAACCGACATAGTCTTTTGCGCTCCAAACGTGTAAATCAAGCTTAGTGTCAAGCTCATCCACCCGCAAATGGTCCCGAGGCCTTTAAAGGCGGGCTTGTCTTTTCAAAGCTTCCTGCCGGGGGACGTTCGATGGTAACGGCGGCTTGGCCACACTCGGTCCCCATCCTGTCCGCCCGAACTCGGAGTTGCGCAGTTGCGCAGTTACCGCATAGCATGTGTCCCTCTACAAAGCCCACCCGGACCTTCTTTGTATGTGCAGGGGTACCAGTTAAGCGGTCCAGGCTTGAGGAATGGGTGCGACAACCATTATCCGTCAACCCTTTAATATGATAACACTAAAGCACAATAAAATATCAGGCTACAATGGATCACAGATGGGAGTCTATTCTCAAGACGTAGCCTCATGAGATAAAGATTTGCAGAGCTTTTGTGAGATCTTAATGAACTTTTCTCATTATATGATGTGACGGTGAGCGCCTACCTTTATCGCCAAGCTCTATGTATATACAAGTAGTCCGGTTATCGAGGGAAAAACTGCAGTTGTGTGGGCGGCTTCTTGACAGCTCCAGTGGGCGATAGTAGGTCTCCCCCAGAGCCACTGACTAGACGGGGCCTTAATACGCGAGCAGACAGCCCTCTATGCAGCCCATGGGCCAGCTCAAGAGAAAGCTTCTCATGTCCAAATTCAAATGATGCGATATCGTCGCTGTAAGTTAGTACACGTACGTCAAGGCCTAAGATTCGGTCGGAAAATAAATTGTGACCAACTCGCCATCTCTATCATAGGTCTATGTTCAGTTTCCTCCATTAAATATTACGATTACTTATCAGCCTGTGAGAAGCGATTCTCTCGATCTTGTGAGCACTGGCACGGGGGTTGTCAGAAAACATAAACATCCATGCCCTGTAACTGCACCAGTAATCCTCTGAACTTTCTGTTTCGACATGGATCTAATTGATAGATCTAGTTGATCGATGATAGCTTGCTCAGATACCCCAATGTGCGGGCCACTTAAGAGTCTGCTTTGGGCCGTGTTCTCTTAAATAGCGGGGCTTCATGCGATGCGATGAGATACCGCCAGCATGGGATAACAAGATTAGCGAACAAGGGGCTCTGGTTTTGGTGTGTTGAGTATGATTATGTCGTAGCACCCATTTGGATCCGTAGCATGGAAGGCAAACATCGGAGCCCGAGGAAACCAAAGAATAGATTGAAGAGGTTCTCGCATCCGCTGCAGATTAAAAAAGAAAAAAAAAAGACAAAAAAGACCAAAAAGACCAAAAACCATCACTTCGATCAAAACGCGTAGGAAGAGAGTGATGATCTAAGGGGTGACGGGGCTCACCGACTCGCGCATGTCTTGGGCGAGAGGACACTGTAGGTATTTTCCCAGCGGTTGTGGCGCTGGGGTGCCGGTTGCTTGGACCGCTCATCGATATGCTTATATAAGCAACATCTCGACAAGCCTATCAGAAAAACAGCTCTCAAGACAGGTAATCGAGACTGCTCCATGTAAAAATTACCTTTCGAATACCATATCTTTAGTCCTATTGATAGTGTGCCTATTATTTGAAAATATAGGCCTTATACATGACTGTCTGCCCTTGACTTATCAGACTAAGGTCAAAGTTGTTGCGTTTTGAATTCCTCAGCTATTATCCAAGTAGAAAATTATCTTCTTACACAGTGCTACACAATCAAAATCCTTCGCAGACTGTGTATCAATATTATGAGCAGACTGTGCCAGTATTGAAAGGGACACACTGCCATCTGGTTCCATCCCCTGCACAGCTGAGGGCAACATACACTACATTGGCTATCATCATGACAGGGGCCAGTGCTCAAGTGCTCCTAGTCCTCTATTCCTTCTCCACTAATATTATGGTGAAGAGACTTGACTTGACGGGATTTTGCCAGGTCTACCCTCAATCAATATTGCACACCCCTTCACATCAATCTTTCTCCTTTTCAACCCCTTTACCACATTGTTCTTTTCAATCCCGTCGCCCCCACCTCGCTTCGTTTCCAGAATACTTGCACTTTCTTCGCTTCCCCACTTCGCACCGACCCGTAACAAATGTACATCACGATTTTGTTGAACTTGTCAAGATTCTGGTAGCCACTCTGCCTTCTCGGTCCCGCTATGGAAGCGGGTGGTATAGGAACAAGGCAAAGGTTAGTTGACAACTCGGTAATCTTGTGATTGCTTCGACAATTGTTTTGTAGCATGTTTCATAACCCACTTGAGCCTGTGACGGACGCGAACGCAAAAAGGTTTCCTGTCGCGCGCTCCCACCAATTCTTCTGTTTGCTAACCCTTCGTAGTGGTAGCACCTCTGCCAGGAGTCCGAACCTGTACAGCCAACCAAGTCGGGATGGGCCACGAGAGGCCCCCGAGCGTCATTACGGAGTGCCATCTGCTATGGCGACAGCCGTGATCATCAAGCCAACGACATCATACTCCCCATCTTCTCAGGCACTCAACACGCATTATCCGCATATAAACCACACGCCCACTATTGCAGAGATGATACCGCCAACCGAAGCCCGACGGCATTCAGACCCAGCTGAAGTCTTGCCTCATCGGCAATCGTTGCCTTCGATTTCCGAAGTTATTTCCTCCACCACAGCCACATCAAGCGGATTTCCCCCAACGTCTGTGTCTGCTACCCAGTCTCTATCCCCCTTTCCACCATCATTTGCCACTCAACCACGACCATATGGCGAGTCCCAGGCAGCTCGAGATAAAGTATCTTCACGCTCAACACATGCGCCTTCTTACGGGCGACCAGAACCTCTAGTACCCTTTGTCGAGTCCCCCGAAACACTACCTACAACCCTCCATCCGGACCTCCTAATTCTGCCCCCTTCGGCCCACATCCAAGTACGACCATAAAGCAAGATCAGAACCGGTTCGATCCTGACAAGACATCGTCAGACCAGCATCCTAATGGATCTTATTCGCAGCCGGTCCCTTTAGCTCCTTACTCCGTTGTCGGACAGTTGTCCAATGCCCATTCTAGCCTCTCCTTGGCGTATCCCATGTCCCCGCGGCATATCATTCCGCCTCTCCCACCTCCTTTCGAATCCCAAAGAGCCCTAAGAGCTGAAGAAACCGAGCCTCCCCACACCCGGCCGAGGTATGACCTAACGTTGAATCGCCATATTGAAGCTTGGTCATACCAAGAATGCCTTAGCCGAGTAAGTCATCCCCATGTAAGGCGGCTAGTCTTTCTAGGCTAACTGTAAAGCAAGGTCGCTACGTGTTCAAGGACCATATTCAACTTTGCGGAGGGCTACGGAAAAATTGCACAAGAACAACATACCTCAAGGCCGATACCTGAGAGGTTACCGACTGATCGAGAGGTATCTGACATGCTTGCCAACCTAGATTATATCCGGACGTCTCTAGAGAATGTACGGGATTTGGTACAGCAGAGTAATAGAAGTGAAGTGCCCCGGGAGCCGAAGGGAAAAGCACCCATGGAGGAGGATGACTCTCAATGTATGATGGGGCCAACAAGACGGCAGCTGTTGGGGCCCCAGAAGTGAAAAAGAGACGTGGGGTAAGAGTCCGTCCACCTTGAATCCGGTTGATCATATTCCGGCACTCCTGTGCATTCTAACTTTTGACCGGCAATTGTAGCGCGCCGCCCCTCCCGGGAGATGCCACAGTTGCAATCGAATCGACACCCCTGAATGGAGACGCGGACCGGATGGCGCTCGTACACTTTGCAATGCCTGTGGGCTTCATTATGCGAAACTCGAAAGGAAGCGGCAGCTAGAGGCAAGGTCAATTCGGCCAAGACAAGCAGATGAAACAACCTGAGGGTGAGCTCGTCATCTCGTAGCTCTTAGCTCCTCCGCTGTCTTGGCTCTTCGCTTGTGATTAGTTCATCCGGAGTTGGAACCTACTGTGACCTCACGGGGAACTCTCCTCTTCGATACGAACTAGAATTATCGGCGAGTGTCCAGTGTCTCTTTCTAGCTCGGTCATCCCTCTGAGCGTTATTGAAGAGAAGGTCGAGTCGGCTCCGATCTGCTGGCGCCCCTATCCCGCACGCTTCTCTCGTCCCCTCCTTAGCCAGCTGTGGATACGCGCAAGTCGTAACATAGTAAACAGCTTCTTGGTAGCAGAACTTACCCCTCACACACTGACCAGGGCCTGTTCACCGGAAAATCCTCGTGACAGCGAGTGCATAGACAGAGGGTTCGCCAACGCTCTGGTCGATCCTACTACCTAAGAATGAATGTGCTGCGCGCTTCTCTTTCTCCGCACAATAAACACGCCACTATGCGAGAGTGCGCTGGATAAGGCAGCACTGTCAGCAAGGCATTTGCAATAGTACATAGCGGTACCGGCATGGGGATCCTCAAGGCGGGTTTCATAACCAAAGTAGCAGCCGAGAAGCAACTATCACGAACCATGGACTCACTCCGTTGACTCGTTTCTGTCCCTAGCCATCACATTTTCATTTCCCGATATGACCAGCGAACATTTTGATGCCGGTCTTAGCTTGGGCTTACGAGCAACAGACCCCACCCGGGGGTAGGTCAGATGGATCAGAAGCATACACCAAGTCTGTACTATTAGCCATCTATGGGGACCTAAGCACAGGTCCTATCTTAAACCGGTCGTCGAGGAGACGATTTGAGGGCCTGCCTCAATACTACCACTTCTGTCCTATGATTACAGCACACCAGAAACGCGCCAGAGCAGCACCTTGGCTTTTAAACGTCTCCCATATAGGAAAATACAAACTTATAGTGTTCCCGTAACGACAGTGCCCGTGATACATCTGCTCGGTTTCTGGAGGCATGCAGCCCCTTGTACCTCTCCAGGGACGATCTGCAAATAGGGACGCTGTCACATAGTAATGATTTTAAAGTCTTAGTTTAAAGAGAAGCCCTTCCCTCTCCCTTCCACCGGATGAAAGAATAGGAATTAAGGGGCATGTAAAATTGGGGGCTTTCGTGTATGCATGTATTTTCTAATGTATCTCAGATATTTGTGAGGAGGGGTTTCCGATCTCAGTTTTCACGATGCCAGTTGCAGTGTTCGCGGCTCCGGTTATTCAAGATAGTTTCTCCCGTTATCGCTGAGTGGCTTTGTCTTCTCCTCTCGCCGGTATTTCGCACAGAAATAATGAGATTCCCGGGTATTAGATGCGCCGGGCTCAACTATCTCGGAAGCGAGTATACACATCACTTCTCGATACACATCACTTTTCGCTCCTAAGCTTAAGTCTAGTCTATACAGGGTGTATACGGCGATGACGACCAAAGCCCGCCTTTTGTTTACTACTCTTTATGCCTGTATGGTAGGATAAACTGAAGTAGAATGAGAATGACCCCAGCGAATATTACTACAGCGCCATCAAGCCTAGGCTTGCCGCGCAATGCCCTGGGCTTCTCAGCACGAATTTACTTTGACCGGAACGATCCGATAAGTTTTGTCAATGTGGGTACCCCCGCGGCAGATAAGCCCTCTCCGGCAATTTCCTTTGCTCCAATTGCTATGACCGAAGCCACTAGATCCTTTTGTACTTCGTCGTTGACAACGCTGTCGCCTTTATATCCCTTGTGGCCCTGTATGAAGTCCCTAATCCATCGAGCTGCAGTGTAAAGCTCACCGCTCGCCCTACGTCGCACAAGGTCGATGTAGGTTTCGAGCTCACATCGCGTCCTAATATCAACATTGACGCTGTCTAGGTAGCTCTCGACAATCGGGATTAGGCCAGGGTAGCCCCCTATCGACCCATTCATGATCTCATTGATACTCATTTCCTCATACTCGTCTTCTACTGGGCCAATAGGGGTCGTTGGTCGAGTTGGAGGAACGCTTGAACTAGTCGACTCAGCACCCCATCATCGCCTTTGTCGCCGATGGCGCACGTGATATACGTAGGGGGAAAGGGTTCTTTCGAAAGTAGAATTTTTCATTGAGTACAGCGTCGCGTGCGTGCGCTCGTTCCATATTCTCATCCACCTTTTGATGGGAATATAGAAGTTTAGATCGAAAGAGAGGATGGCACGGGTGACAAGGACCATGAAGACAGAGAAAGCAGCATTCTCAAAGTCTGTGATTTGAATTTCCATTGGTCGGAATTCAACGCGCCACCCAATGCTATTATCTGACGGAGGTGGCTTGAACCTCATGTGTTGCCAGTTCGTTGACTGGAGATTCTCGAAATGGTCTGTTTTCGTCAGGTCCAGAGATTGAAGGTCTTCTTCAAAGATGACGATGGGGTCCCTAATGAATAAGTGGGCAAAATGAGTGGCAAGTCTGTGGTCCATACCACCAGCGATCAATTGCATCTTAATATCTTCATCGACGACCAGATCTGGGTCGAGATACTCAGGTCGTAGCCGTGCATCTGAGGAAATGTAAGTGGAGTTAGAAGCGTAACGCGATTTTGGAATGCGCCATCTAGAGCTTTTCAATGGCTAAACAATATCAATAAGCATTCTTCAATGAAATTTAGGAACTTGGTTCCACATACTTGCTCGCCAAGCTCCTCGGGGGTTCGACAGTCAACAGAATGACTGATCTGGTTCCATCGCACGTCCGTGTCAACCAGGAACCCTTTATACACGGGGGTTGCTGCGGTTAAAGCCAATAGTATAGGACCCAGAGGACTAAGTTGATCATACATCCGTCGGCCTTCGGTGATATTCTTTGCTTGAAGGTTATCTGAAGGCAACAGCTCCCCATACCAAAGGCCATGGCATCCATATGGACGAACCCTTTAGGTGCTGCCCCATTCCGGACGTCGTCATCTTCGGCCCAGTTATGGAGGTCGTAGTCAACAGTTGTCTGCCCAATCTTCTCGGACATGCTTGTCACGGAAGATAGGGACATTGACTTGAACCTTGCGGCCTCGGCGGGATCTGATGTTAGCGGCGAGTGTAGGAAACCTGATATGGGGGTTGGCGATCTCATCTGGGACAAATTGAGAGCGCAACCTTGGTCCGGAAGGTGGGTAATATGGTGAGGTAAACTGGCCTATAGTTCCAAGGCGCGGAAAAGTGGTCAAAGTGATTGGATACTCATCTTGATGCATATGTTCCTTTGCAATCTTCCTCCTAGTTTTGTGGTGATGTATTAGCCTGCTTAGCTACGGGTGGTTTGAATCGGGATACGCTTACCTTAATCTCATATCAGCTTCAACTTGAAGGAGTTCCTTAAAGTCGATGCCCCATGGTCGACCAGGGGTTGCTTCCAACATAAATCGACCAAACTCCGGATGAAAGACCGGCGTCGGGTTGCTGGTTCACCGCATTAGACACCTTTTAGAGATCATAATTGCAAGGGGAGGCTGTACTCATTGTGCTGTCTGCCTTGAGATCCAAGCCCTTTGGCTTCGTCCTGACTATATCCTCGTCTACTCGCAGGGCTTCGAGGATTTCTGCTTGCCGGAGAGATAGGAGCACCTTTGGCCTGGAAGGAGAATAATCTACGACCAGGTACTCCACCTATCACTCGATACTTAGTTCGAGAGGGCCGCAGGGAAGAAGAACGCCTATATATACCTCATCTCCCCAGAGCATTGCATCTCTCTCTTTACCTTTCGCCTTTTCCCAGATCTCTAGGAGTTGCTAGGGATCTCTGTTAGTCTTACGAAGAGCAATTACTTGTCTTGGCTGCAAACCTTGATTCCCAGGATCTAACCTGGTCAGCCCTCTTCTTGGCCTCGGGCCATTCTAGGGCGGTACCCAGTGCCCTACGTTTCGCGAATTAGCGATTTAGTGCAATACTCATATTGGCACATGCAAGTGGTGGCGTACAAGAGCCCCATAGGAGAAGGTGAACTTGAGTTAGGAACCCTGCTTCTGAGAAAGAAAGACGAAAAGGCCAATGATGATAGTGTCAATATTGAAGACTGTCGGTTTCTTCTACCTGTGCTAACTTGGTCTCAAGACAACGTAGGAGAATTCGTCTTGAAGTCTAGTGTAGTGTCGTCTGGGGAATTCACATGTGGAGAGCTCCTGCCGCACATAATACGCGGGGCATTGAACAGCATGAGGCTGACTAATTGCAAATAGCAAGGTGGGTTTCTCCCCACTCCAATTGACTTTTTTTTTTTTCACTGCTCCAAAGAACCCAACCCGTTATCCGTCCTTCTGCTTCTGTCTAAGGATAGTTAAAGAGCATCTCCTAAAATATGGCCTCAGAACTTGTCCCAACGAAGCCGACGAGGCAGCCCTCGGCCACATCCCTTTTTCTGTGGAACAAAAATATTGGAAGTCTTTCAAGCATCAACTCCTCATTCCGTCACCCACCAGCTTCGCCATCACCTACATCAGTTGTCCATCTCCTACCTCTCCTAACGATATGTTTGCCGTCACAAGTGGGACAAGGGTTCAAATATACTCCGCCCGCACTCGAAAGCTCGTGAAAACCATAACCCGATTCCAGGATGTCGCGCGAAGTGGAGATATCCGCGCAGATGGGCGCGTTCTCGTGGCTGGGGAGGATACCGGCCGGATTCAGGTTTTCGATATCGGATCTCGAGCGGTTCTAAAGACGTGGACTTTGCACAAGCAACCTGTTTGGGTAACAAAATTCTCCCTATACAGCCAACCACCATACTCAGTGCTAGTGATGATCGGAGTGTTAGACTCTGGGATCTTCCGACCGGCGAGTCCATAAACACTTTTCATGGGCACATGGATTACATACGGTGCGCCAAATTTATACCTACATCAATAAGTCACACTTTAGTGTCAGGTAGTTACGACTCTACCGTTAAAATCTGGGATCCGAGAACCAACTCAGGCTGCCCTGTCATGACTTTTAAGCATGGGGCCCCGGTAGAGGACGTCTTACCGTTGCCTTCTGGTACTACGCTACTGGCAGCCTCTGGCAATACTGTTAGTGTGCTAGATATGGTCGCAGCCCGTCCACTCCGAATCCTGTCGAATCACCAAAAACCGTCACATCACTCAGCCTCGCGAAGGATGGAGGTCGGACGTTAGTCGGAGGGTTGGATGGTCATATCAAGATTTACGAAACCACTGGATGGAATGTGGTATCAACCGCTAAATATCACTCGCCTATTCTCGCGGTTGGTATGATCGGATCTGGGTCTGGAGATGCGACTGTTGATCGACACTTGGTGGCGGGTATGTCATCTGGTGTCTTGAGCATTCGAACACGACTAAGTGCAAGGGAGATGACGAGAGAAAGACAAAAGGAAAATTACATGGATGCTCTCTTGCAAGAAAAATCGGTCCATTTGAGGCGAAATTGGCGAAGCGCAAGCGTGAAAAGTCGGAGAAAAAGCAGCTTGATTTAGTGGGTGAAGGTGCCGACGTCGTCCTAGCCCAAGACCAACACTCCAGAAGGCAGCGCAAGGAGCGACCGTGGCAAAAGAAGTTGAGGCGGGGCCAGCTGGCGGCCGCTTTGACGAGGTTTTGATGTTAAAGGGCCTGAATACGGGCCCATTAACATCCTAACACTTTTGCTAGCCCTCCGTCATCGCGGAGGCATTCGTAGTGCATTGTCGGGGCGGGACGAGAATTCGGTACAGCCCATTCTCAAATGGGTGAGTAATCACATGTTTGATGCTCGCTATACCGGGGTTTGTATTGAGGTTGGTCTTCACCTCATCGACTTATACTCCGATTACATCAGTTATTCGGCCGATCTACGAGAGGGATTTCGACCCTCCACCGGAGAGTGAGGATAGAAGTAGAGAGGGCACAAGTTGCGTGGCAAACAAGCGGTGCGTTGGAGAGTCTATTAGATCACAGAGCGTAAACATCTCACGGGGCGAAGGTGGGAAGACTTGCTAGAATTCAGTATGACTAATCGTTAACTGTCGTGGAACCATTCAACCTGCACGCTTTTAACTTGTATGAAGTATCAGGTATTAACCATGACAATGCACACATACGGATCGCTCCGAAATGTTCACCGAACCGTGAACCGGAGTCGCCAATGGCGTTGGTGGGGTTCACGACATGCCGCTCACCCCGTTTCTCCATGCCAATACACAGCGGTTTGGTATCGTGCATACCACCATCAACCATCCTCACCACCACCGAACCTCCCTCGACCATTGGTTACGGTTAGCCAGATTCGAGCGGTTGTAAGAAGTCGTCTTACTATCGCATTCATTGGCGTGTGCATAGTAGGCGCAGGTCTCTTTTACAACGAAAACGTGGAGTCGGTACCTGTTAGTGGCCGGAAGAGGTTCAACTGTTACGGGAATGGGGAATCTACTCTAAGCGAACAGCAAGTAAGACGGGTTTTATACGAGATCGAAAGCCAGGGCTTGCGTGTGTTTGCGGCAGATGATCATAGGTAGGGTCAGGCCAGCTAGCAGAGAGCGCTGCCATTTCCAACAAGTCAGGGGCTAGAAGATTGTAGTCTGACGAGAAGAAGGGTTGTTTCCGTGAATAACATTTTACGGCGCCTTATCCTCGAAGTGCACTAATGCGCGAAGAGTGGGAGGTCTGGGTGATTGATGACCCACGTATGATCCCCAAAGTGAAAACATATATTCCTATAACCCCAATATGGAATCAGTGCTGACTATTTGAGTGCTATTGGGCAGGAATGCTAACGCATTCATATTACCTGGAGGAAAGGTGTTCGTGTACAGTGGCATCCTACAAGTAGCGCGAACCCAGGCCAGTCTCGCGGCTGTCTTGAGCCATGAAGTGGCCCACAGCCTTGCTCAACACCATGCGGAGCGCATGTCCGCCGCCCTTGGGACCAATATGATACTATATAGCCTAATATTCCTCACCGCTCCCCTTCCTGGCGCTTTCTTCATTATACAAGCCCTAGGAGGGCAGTTACTGGACACTTTATTCACACGGCCTATGAGTCGAAAGATGGAAAGCGAAGCAGACTATATTGGGCTAATGCTAATGGCAGAAGCTTGTTATGACCCCCGAGAAGCCCTCCAATTCTGGGAGCGGATGGAGCATATCTCGAGAAGCGCCGGGTCACTAGTAGCTCCGGAATGGATGAGCACGCACCCATCGGTATGTACGAAACTCAGACTTTACAGGCCAAAGAGAGGAATGCTGATTATAGTCCGAGATCAGAATCAAAAGAGAATCGAGATGATAGAGGGGTGGATGCCACAGGCGATGAAGAAGTGGCAATCTAATGAATGTGATCAGGTGTTTAAACTATAGGCTAAGTTTTTAAAAATATTATCATAGGTTAATATATAAGGTAGTCATATATAACACCACATCTAAGAGGTAGTGCTATCTACTCTGATATAAATATTTTCCTAAAACTAAACTATACTTATATTATATACCCCTAGGGTACCCTATACCCTATTATAAAACCTACTTAAAAATAAAATTAAACTTATAAAATAAAGATTAATATCTTATTATAGAAGAAAAATATAGATATTAATATAATATTATAATAATATTCTAGACTTTTAGCTCTATTTGATAATACTAGTTTTATATTAATTACTAATATTACTAATATTAGTATTTAAGTTTTAGAAAAGATTTATATTTAATTTTTAATCTTTAAAAACTATATAATAAACTTCTAAATTAAATCTTTTAAAAATAAATTAAATAAAAGAATTTAGTTTTTTAAATAGAAAGAAATATATTTTACTAATAGCTTTCCCTTAAAATAAATTCTATAATAATAACTATTATAAAAATAAATTATAATTATTATACTAATAAAAGACTATTATTTTAGTTATCTTTCCTATAATATTTCTATAAGAACCTACTTTTATTAAGGTTTCTATAAGGAATATACTTTTTCTACTAATAAATAGATACTAATATATTATACCTCTAAATCCCCTAACTAATCCTAAGTTATAGCCTACTAATATATCTAAAAATCTAAGATTACTATATATTACTTTAAAAAACTTATTAAACTTTATAAAAGGAAAATAATATATATATTAAAAATATAAATATAAACTAATATAAACCTTAAAAGACTTTACTAATAAAAACTTACCTATAAAAGTCCTTATATATATCCTTATAAGAAAAAAGGCTTTAACCTCTAATATATAATAAACTTATATTCTCTAATAGATATTAACCTAACTATTAATAACTATATAATAGCTAAAAGTAGGAAAAATCTTCTTATTACTATTATATTAAAATATAGCTATTAAGTAATATTAAAGATATTATCTATAGAAAAAGATATATAAATAAGATTACTAATATATAATAATATATTATAAAAAGATAATTAATAAGATCTATAATAAAAAGAAGTTATAAAGATCTTTATTATATATATTATTATTATTATTAAATATATATTTAAAAAGTTCCTATTAGAGATATAATATATAAATATAATTTTAAAAGGATTTTATCTATATTGTCTAATATAAAATTAAGATATTAATAAATAACCTTTTAAAAATAATAATAATAAATCTATTATCTATTATTAGATCTAGATTTTAAAATAATAGCTAAGTAAATATAATTAGAGCTCTTACTCCCCTATTACTACTTTAAGTAAAAGTAAAAGATAAATAATAATAAATACCCCTTAAGCTATAACTTTAATAAGTTAACTTAAAAAGGAGAAAAGAAGAAGATTAGAGAATTTTTATCTATTAGACTTTAGAAATAATCTAATAATTAAAAGACCTTACTACTTTTTTATATCTAATAGATTATTATAACTTATATAAGTTTATAATATTAAAATATTTTTAAAGTAAAATAAACTTAATCTAATATTATAATTATTATTTAACTTTTAAAATATTAATAGAAGATTATTAATATAGAAAGTAGATTAATAGAAACTTTA